AGGGCAGGGTGGCCATAGAGGAAGTCCCATCTCCAGATTCCTAATTTGCAGTATTTTCCTTAATATTATTATTTTTTCACTTGCGAGTGTGGGAAACTGATGTCCTGGACCTTATACTAGATCCTGAGCTCTGGAGTTTTTCTATGAGTGCTTCCTGCATGAGTTCCCCGTCCCTCTACCATGGAGAGGTCCCGACCTGGCTTTCTCTACTGCTGACCAAACCAGAAGTCCTACAATTTATTATTATAAAGTGAAAATTTTACTCCTTTCATCATCTTTTGATGATTCTACATTATTCAATAGGTTACCTATGTTGTTTTTGTTGTTAAATTGGCATTGATTTAGCTCAGAGTCATATTGACTATGTATGGACGGGTTTTCCAAAAAGCAGCTGATGAGTTTGAACCAACCTTTTGGGTAAAACACCCATGCTAATTTTACTGTGCAACATTGTTGTTGTTGTTAAGTGCCATCCAGTTGGTTCCAACACATAATGACCCTATATAGTGTTTACATGGAGCAGCTGGTGAAATTGAACCGCCAACCTTGAAGTTCAAATGGCTTTGCAGTCTGGCGCATAACCCACAGCAAATCCTTAAATATTGCAACCCAAAGCTTTAATTTTTTTCTTCAGTTCATTCAGCTTCAGAAATACTGAGCATGTTCTTTCCTTTTGGTTTTCTAACTCCAGGTCTTTGTACATTTCATTAGAATATTTTACTTGGTTTTCACAAACTGCCCTTTTAACTTCTCAGTACAGCTCTTTTAAATTCCTCATTGCTTCCATTTGCTTTAGCATATCTATGCATAACAGCAAGTTTCAGAGTCTCTTCTGACATCCATATTGATATTTTCTTTATTTCCTGTCTTTTTAGTGATTTTTTACATTCTTCCCAAAACTCTTCTGGTCTTCATTCATTAGTGTCTAACACATCAAATCTGTTCTTGAGATTGTCTCTAAAACCATGTGGGACATATTTATAGCCATATTTTGTCTCTCATTAAATTGGTTTCATTTTTATTACTTTCAGCCTGAACTTGCATATGAGCAACTGATGTTCTGTTCCACAGTCTGCCACTGGCCTTGTTTTGGCTGATGGAATAAGATTTCCCACCATCTGTTCCCACAAACAAAGTCAATTTGATTCCTGTGATTTCCTGCTGGTGAGGTACAGGTGTATTCACCTTTTTTGTTTTTTAAGGTACTTGCAATGAGTAAGTCATTGTTGTTGTTGCTAGTTGTCATCGAGTCAGTTCCAACTCATAGCAACCCTATGCCAAGCAGAAGCACACTCTGCGGGTCCTTTGCCATTCTAAGAATCATTAGTACACTTGAGCCCATTGAGGGTCTTGTTCTTGTTCTTCCTAATCTGTCTTAGTCTGGGAACTCCATTTAAATCTGTCCACCCTGGGTAAACCTGCTCATATTTAAAATACCGCTGGCAGAGCTTCCAGCATCAAGCAACACACAAGCCAACACAGTATGAAGAACTAATAAACACTTGGTGGATTGATTGGTTTGGAAAACATGCAACCTGAATTATCAGGGGAACCATAAAGTTCATAGGCCTTAAATTGATATGGAAATGAAACAGTGGAAATGCTTTGTTATAACATAACCTGTCATAATAAGAAGTGATAAAACATCCATGACTCAGACTCATACAAAGGATAACCAGCTCAGGCTTGGCGTGGGGGGAGACATTACAGTGAAGTGAGTGAGATTTCTGTCTTTAGACCCAGTTTCCCTTCTTAAGCCTGCTAATACAGAGCTCCACAAATTCCCCACATGGACAAATGGGTATGTGTTAACTTGTGAAACCACAAACTGGGATTCTCTGATCCCAGGTGTGTGCCTCTGCTGAGGACAAGTCATAATTTCTGTCTGCACACAGTTTGGACCAATATAGCAAGAAAGCAAACAGTTGGGAGAATATCATTTCAAATAGAAAAGGTCCTCTTGTATCTGGAATTATAGGTTTTGAGTTCTCATTTCATCCATAATTTTGTGATTTTATTAAAATGCATGTTGCATTTTATCCCTCTTTTTATTCCCCTAGTGGTGATGTTGATCTTCTTTTCCCTATAATAATCTAGCTAGAAATGTGTATTCCTCATATTCTATTGAAGATACTGTTTGGAAGATGACAAGTGCTGCACTGTATTACCATAAAGATAAAGAAAACGTTCCATACAAGTGAATTCATTTTCTCAAATGACATGCCAATATGTGAAAATGAATCAGATTTTTACATTTTAGAAATAAATGGCAAATATATGGTATGAATAGATCCTGTCTATTACCATGATGCAAAATCTGATAATAATATTAGATATAATACTTACACCTAATAGTGGGGCATGTTGGTTACCTGTCAAACAACATGCAAATCAAATTTTTAATGAAAGAATATGATCCTGCTCAGGTTAAGGAAATTAACTGTACTTGAGATGATTATTTATTTAGAAATACTGAATTTCATAATGAAGGCAATTATCTTTTTAATTAGTATATGTTGAGCCCATCAATTAGGAATATCATTGTTGACATCAGATTGATCTTTTCTGAATGCAGAAACTACCAGGAAGATGTTCATTTGTGTAAAGACATTCAACTGTGGATCATAACAATGTATGGATAACATTGTAAAGAACAGGCATTCCATACACTGAATTGTGCTCACGGGGAACCTGTATATAGACAAGAAGCAATTCTTCTAACAGAACAAGGGGATGCTGAATGGTTTAAAATCAGGAAAGGTGTGTGTCATGGTTGTATCCTTTCACCATATTGACTGTATGCAAACTAGATAATATGAGATAATATGAGAAGCTGGGTTAAAAGAAGAACATGACATCAGGATTGAAGGAAGATTCATTAACAACCTATGACATGCAGATGACATAACCTTGCTTGCTAAAAGTGAGGAAGAATTGAAATACTTATCAAAGACATCATTAAGGTGATTGCATCTGAAGGTAAAGGCAATGAAAATCCTCACAACTGGGTCAATAAATAACATCATTATAAATGGAGAAAAGATTGAAATTGTAAAGGTCTCATTTTGTTTTGACCAACAATCAAACTCATAGAAGCAGTAGTCAAGAAATGAAAATACAAATCGCACTGAACAAACATGCTGCAAAAGTCCTCTTTAAACTACTAAAGAGCAAAGCTGTGACGATGAGGGGTTAGGTTCCCTGGTCCAAGCATCACCTAGGATGCATGAGAAAGCTGTACAATGAAAAAGGAAGACATAAGAAGAACCGGTGCATTCAAGTCATGACGCTGGTGAAAAATATTGAAAGTACCATGGACTGCCAGACGAACAAGCAAATCTGTCTTTGAAAAAGTACATCCTAAATTCTCCTTACAAGCGAGGATGATGAGATGTGGTCTCTCACACTTTGGACAGGTTGTCAGAAAGGGTCATTCCCTGGAGAAGGACATATTAATAGGTAAAGTGAAGGATCATTGAAAAGTAGGAAGATCCCTAACATTAGGAAATGACACAGTGACAGCAACAATGGGCACAAACAGACCAACAGTTGCGAGGATGGCACAGGTCTGGGAAGTGTTTCCTTCTGTTGCACACAGGGTTGCTATGACTTGGAACTGACTGAATGACACCTGAGAAGAACAACAATCACGTGGGCTCTGCTGGCCCACTTCTTACAGAAGAAAAAGGTTTTGGAAGCTTTTCTCTGTTATTTTAGATTTAATGACATGGAAAAACATGACTTCAGTTCTCTCCATAGATAAAGCCAAAGAGCTGCTGACTCACGCCTTTCCTAAGAAACGTGCAATGATGCAGGGTTCAACTGAGATGGTCAGGCATAGTCCCTTTGTTCAAATCTGAATCTTTACCCTAACAGTAAATGATGCCTGAATACTAGCCGTAGTCTAACACCTAAACCTATGTTGAACCATGCCCTTATCAATAATCTGAACCCAAATCCTAATTATAACCCTAGAGCAAGTCCTAGACATGAATGCTAACATTCTTCACAAAACTATATTCATATATCAAACTTCAGTCCCCAGAAACATCCCCAGTCTTAGCAAGCATTAGCCTAAGAACAGGTAAATTGATTAGTAGCTGGCCCTCAAGTCCCCATTTTGTGTAGTTGGCCTACAATCTTCAAATTCTTATGAAATGATTCTATGTCATTTTGCTTTCTTCTTAGAAGCATGTGTAGTAATTCTGTGCTGCACATGTTTCAGTTTATGGTCTCATTTTAAAAACACAACATTTGGAATTCTAAGACGTCTATTTTCACTAGGAGTCCTAGTGGCATACTGGATTATATATAAGGATTTGTTTCGATTTTGTCCTATTCTGTTTTTGGTTTATTTTCTCTATGCAAAAGATAGGTGAAACTTATCAGAGACTTTTGACATTAGGATATTGCAGGAACTAGGGATTTACAAAAGTTGATTTTCAGGTACTTAACACCCAATAATTTCCCTATTTTTTTCAGTCATGCTTCCATTAAATAGTTTTTGTGGAAAACTATCCAGGATAGATCATGACTAGTAAAGAAGTAGTAAGAAACTGGAGAAATGAGAAGATGGCAATTTATGAATATTATCCAATAGAAATATTACCCTGCAAAATTCTCCAAACTGTTAAACTCTAGCAGGTTTGAATCAACTTGCTTTACTACAAATCTGTTACATTTGTCTGGCCATCACACTGATGGACGTTAACTGACAACTGTGGTGAGTTAGGATGAGCTCTCCATGTCTCAAGTCTGCTTGCTCAGAGGCACTTAGATCTTCTCCATTCACCTCATGGCTCTGCCATGTCAAGGCCGATGGGACCACAAACAAGCAGTTTCTTAGGTGTGGCCAAGGCTCTCATGCTCCAGAGCCCTCAGCTGCAGCCCATTCCCCTGAGGTCTGTAGCATCCCCTCAGAATCAGGCTCAGATCGTCTGCTCTGGTGGCTCCTCACACAGGTCACGAAATTGGACAGCTGGGCCACCGCCAACAGAGGTTTATGTACAAGGATATACCACTGTGGGAGGGAATCTTTCATTTTGCTGGCAGTAATAAACTGCAGCATCTTCATCCTCTACTGTGTTGATCTTAAGCATGTAATCTGCTCCTGACCCACTGCCAATGAACCTGTCTGGGACCCCAGGTCCCCGGTTAGAAACTGTATAGATCAGTGGCTTTAGAGCCTGGCCTGGTTTCTGCTGGTACCAGTTTAGATAGGCGTAATCCCCATAATCTTCTGGAAGGCTTGTCTTGCATGTTATAGTGGCTGAGTCCCCAAGAGTGATGGACAGGGAGACTGGACTCTGCGTCAGCACAATATCCTGACTGAACACTAAAATAATGAGAGGAAAGTAAAATATTATATACTAGCATCAGGAGCGATTTTCATGATTCCCTTCTGCTATTTATTTCAGGCTAGATTATTAGTATTTTTTTGTGATTTGGATTCATAGCACCAAATACCAAATTTTTAAAAAGAACAAAACATTTCCAAGTCCTAATGGAGCCTCATCCTTTGTCAAAGCCTTGACAGATTCTCTCTCATTCCTTCAGCACTTCTGATGCTTGAGGATGCCTCCTAACTATCACAGATCTAAATACCATAGTCTCCTACCCAGAGGACAAAAACCCATGCACATAACAAGTGAATTGGAAAAATGGGGAAGAAATGATGTCGCCAAAGCTTATCCTTCCCCACCGCTCTCCCTTTTCATCTTGCCTCTGTCCTCACCAGAGTTCCAGAGCATGACCAGTCCCAGAATTGGAGTAGCAAGCCTCATTTTGAGAAGTTGAATCGAAGAGTCCTAACAAGTAAAGGCAGATTGGAGCTGATCTTTTATCTCAGATTTACACAGGAAGGTCCTCCCAGGGGTGCAATATGCAAAGTCTTTGGTGGGTGCAGCAGTGTGGAATGAACCAAAGGAAGGCTGGACTCTTCTGTGAGCAAATCACATAAATATATTCTGTGTTTGGAGAAAAATATTACAGAGAAATGTAATCTTCCAGGACTAGTAGGAAGACTAATTTAACTTGGAAGTTTGTATCTGTGGGGAGGACATCGTTCATATGGCTCTGTCATTCTAAGAAAAGTCTGAGATCTTGATGATGCAGAGATGTGACTTGCTGATTTAGTTGCTAGAAGGTGACAGGATTTTCTATTTCATTGTCACTCAAGTAATCTATGGAAGAAGACAGCTCCCATGCTTACTGTGCTGATCCATAGAGTGGCTCCAATACCTGGTTAACTTGAAATCGTTCAAGATTATCTGGTATCTGCTTTTATCAGGTTAAATGTTTGTTAATGCCAGATAAAAATGTTAGAAAACATCTATTCCTGGGATTTAATTAACTAAGCTCCATAAGATCCCAGAAATAGATGTTTTCTAATATTTTTATCTCTAATGAATAAACATTTAACCTGATAACAGCTGATGTTCAAAAGAACATTAAAGTAAAAAGTGCTTGGGAGGAAGGAAAAACCTGCCTCTCTCTGTAAGAGAGTTAATGATGTTGTTAAGTACTATGGTGGCGTTATTTCCGACACATAGCAACACTACAAAGAATTTCCAAGGAGTGGTTGGTTTGAACATCCAACACTGTGGTTAGCAGTCCAGTGCCTATCCTACAGCACCAGACCTCCATTTAAACAAGGGAAAAAGGAGAAAGAATGCTATGCCTCAGACGTGACTATTAAATTCATGGTAACCAGTTGACCCAATCTGGCACACGTTGTATCATACATTTCTCTCTCTTCCTCCCTTTCTCTCTGTGTGATGCACACACAGACACACACACACTCATACAGCAGAGAAATCAAGTAGACTTTTTAAGGTTAGAATTTTATCTTCAGGTGTGGTCATAATTAACAAAGAATCATTTTATAATGTTTTTATGGTTGCCATTCTGAAAAACTCTTCCAAGCCTTTCTTTTTATGTAAAACTAGATGCTCTCAAGGTCTCCATGTTTTTGTTAGCTGTAAGAATCCATGTCTCTGTCCTGGCCTGTGTCCTGGGAAGCTAACAGTCTACAGGTCAAAGTAGACTTTGTATGTGAGAAGACAAACAGTGAGTTCAGTTTTCATGCTTCAGAGTAGCTTGTTTTAGTAGTAAGAGAGCATGCCTGAAGTTCTTCATGTTATTAATTTTGATCCTTCTTTTTACATACTCAAATAAAATGTACATTTCACATTGACAAATCAAAACCTAGATTTTTTTAACCCAAGATTGTTCTGTGAGGCAGATTATGGGAGTTAGTCACCAATGGAAGGTTTGGCCACCAAGTTAGTATCCCAGGCTTAGCTTTTCTTACCGGTACTACTCTCTGGTACAAGGAACTCTGGTAGCATAGTGGTTACAAGTCGGGCTACTAACCTCAAGGTCAGCAGTTAGAAACTACCAGCCGTTCCACAGAAGACAGATGAGGCTTTCTGTTCCCATAAAGATGTGTTGTTGCTATTAAGTGCTGTCGAGTTGGTTCAAACCCATAGTGACCCTGTATAGGATTTCCAAGGAGCAGTTGGTAAGCTTGACCCATTCAACTTGCCATTCAAATGACTTTGCAGTCTGGTGCATGAATACACAGAGCCAAAGAAGGACACCACCTTGGAAACTCTGTACAAGGTCTCTATGAGCTGGTGCTGACTCCATGGCGCTTAAAAACACAAAAACACCAGCAGAGTGATGGCTATATTCTAGTTGTATTACTTTCCTCAGTGTTCTACTTCTGTCACTGCTTTTTCCCTGTTCTTACTCCTAGACCCACTGACTAGTCTATACTAGTACATGCTGGTATGGTATCATTCCCAGCACTGTCACTCATCCTGTGGTGTTGTTACTGTTGTTATTGTTAGTTATCTTTGAGTTGGTTTGGAGACATAGCAACCTTCTGCACAACAAAACAGAACAGTCCCTGTCCTGGGCCGTCCTCCCAATGGTGACACTTGAGCTCATTGCTGCTGCGACTATTAGGGGTCTTTCTCTTTTATGCTGATCCTCCAATTTACCAAGTAGGATACCATCTTTCAAAAGCTTGTTCCTCCTCACTCCTGCATTGCTGGTGGGATTGCAAAATGATCCAACCTCTCTGGAGAGCAATATGGCATTTTCTCAGAAGGTTG